TTACCATTACCACCGTTACCGCTAGTGCTACGGTTACGACTATGTAAGGAATTTTTGTGATGTCAAGACGACCGCCTACTTCCATAAGTTCTTGCTAGGAATAAGTAAACTATGCTCAATGCCGATCTTTTATATTCACTTTTCTTTTTTTTCTTTTTTTTTTTCGTAATGTAGATTTAAATGACAAACAATTCGATCGTTATCTGTACTATTTTCTACTGTTTAGGAAAATAACAATCTGCTACGTATGAGACAATTTGAAAGGAAATGATAATTGTTTGAGTTGTTTGACGACTCTATTCATGTATTCCTCTTCGAATCGTAATTCAAATTGTCTGTCTCCTTCATCTGATTTCTATCAGCTTACATTTCCCACTGATGATTTTGACTATGATTTTCTATCGCATTCCAGAGGCGTAAGTGGAAATTTTGCAACTTGAAAAGATTTGTTTGAGAGAAAATCTTTTACAATGTTTATAACATTTAAATAATCGTCATATAACATCAAATTATTTAATTGGCAAAATCTTGTTAGCATACCGCAATAAATAATCTGACAATACGAAAAGTCTGAAGTCCGAAATTTCATGTCTAAAATTCACAAATCATTCTAACCACTTCTTTTTTGTTCTTTTGGCAAAAAAAAGAAAAATGCATGCTTGAATATGCTGCAGTATATGCAATGTAATTAGAAATTAAGTAGAATATTCGAATAAGGTTGGTACTACGAAATAGGAGATTTGTGGATATATTTTTAATGAAATTTAGAAAATTAAAAAGTAGCTGCATACGAAAATAATTGCAGAGATCGACAGACGACAGTCACCCCATCAAAGAGACATTATCTGATATCCAGCAGCAATTGAATCAATTGGCATCCGAGAATTTGGTATATTAAACATAGTTTCAGTTTTGATCCGTGAAGAAGAAGAGTCCCATACCTCCCTTTTTAATGAGTTGGTTGAAGTTGTTTGTTACTGTATTATTTAGCAGAAAAACTTAAACAATTTTCGTAACTATGGTATCAATAAACCAAACAGTCGATTAGACTAGTTAATTTTAATATAATTTAAAGCAATTAGACCTGAGTAAGTTCAGTTGATTCGGTTTCATGTAACAAAGAATAAGATTTTCTAGGGATTTTTTGAATGTTTCGCACTTTCCCTATTTTAATTCGGTCATATTTTTTAAATTTCCAGAGTTTACAAGATAAAATCAATCAGCAGTCGGATGAACTGTCCGAAGCGAAGGCACAGCTACGTGGCTGTTCTGGACGGATCACTTTTTCGCTTGGTTAGATTTTATTCATTAGCATATCATATTTACTTCAGAAGCTTTAAACTATCGGAGCTGCAGATACTCAGTAACATACCGAAGAAGCTGTTATAAGCATGGTGTCACTTCGTATTGATCGTGCGTAAATTTGGTTAAAATAAATTAAAATGAAAAATTCGTATTGATCGTACGTAAATTTGGTTAAAATAAATTAAAATGATAGCTAGACTTTCGACCGAATCCTAATGATTTGAACATGCTTCGACAGTTTCAGTAATTCAGTTGTTATCAGTGAAACCAATATATCCAATTTTAAAAGATTAGCTGTTATTTCAGATAATACTTCGGATGCAGATATCATTCGTTTAGAAGCGCTGAAGAAAGAGAGTGTTGACCATTCCTCACTTTTAGAAGTTTTCAATGTGCCGGAATTCACAAGGATACTTGTCTGTGGTAGGTTCTATTTTCTTTTTAGACAAGCTTGGGGATTTCAAATTTTAAATTTCGATGATGGAGTGTTCCTTGGACTAATTTATGATTTCTTAAAATTTTGAAACAAATTGAATAATGAGAATGAAAAAAATAGGTAAATGTTTAGCTGAATTAAATCTGCTAAATCATATTAGCTTACAGATTTGAAGCCACGACTTGCTCGACTCTTGACGCCTTGCTTGCCGGCATATCTTCTACTTGCAGCTTTCCGGTACTATGATCATATTAAAGATGAAGCAGGTCTCACCGGTTTATTCTCGGCTATTCATATAGTACTGAAGGATACACTGGCAGTTAGTTATCGTTTATGATTAATAAGTTCATACTTCACTGCATCAGTGTAACTTTATTTTGCAGCATTTTGACATGACGAGTCAAATTACGTGCCTTTATATCAATTCGAGAAATACGAGATTGAGCAGTATCGCTGGGAAATTTAAATTGTTTTTACCGAATCCTGTTTCCTTTACGATGATAGAGAGGTCATGATGCTTGATTGAGAAATTATAGGACGGGAAAGTTAAATAATGGAATCCGCTTTGTAACATACTGGTAAATAGCAATCATCAGCATTATATTGCTCAATTAAATTTGCTGAAGTATAACTTCTACCTATCCAATTTTAGCATTCAAATGACATGGATGTGTTGTCATTGTGGTTGGTTAATTCATGGCGTCTGCTGAACCTTTTGCGGCAGTATAGCGGCGAAAATAATAATGTGAGCGCTAAAAAACAAATTTAAAGAACTTTTTTTTTGAAGTATAATAAGAATTTCCTAAGCAATGTTTTACTCTTATTTTAGTTACAGACGATTACTTTGCTGTTCGAGAATTTCAGTGAGTTTGTTCCTGCTTTCAGGAATGGTCTATGACCAATTCGGAAAAACAAAATAATCAGCGAATGCAAAGTTTTGATTTAAGTCCTTTGCGGAATCAACTTCGTGCTCGAGTTGAGGAATCATACCAGAATCTTTTGAAACGAGCTATCGAACCAGTACTTTCTCCAAAAATAGGTTAGTTTTTAAGATACAAAGTGATTTTTATAATGTTTCTAAGTTTTACGGTGAATTTTTTTCTGACTTAAAAAACAGCTGTCATTTGATAGTTCCCGCTATATTGCAACATGAATCGAGTCAAAAGATGGTGAACGGTAGCAATGTAGAGAATAATCAACGACGACAATCGATGAGGGAGCAAAGTTCGCAGCGTGCTTTAGATGATTTAATTGAATTGGTTAGTGTGAAGTTCTTATTCTCCACCTTCCAGCTAACTTCAGGATGACTTGCTATCTCAGCACTCTTCATTTCGTATTAATTTTTAAAATGAATTCATCAGTTAAGCTTCTCTTACTTTGGGTGTAATAGTTCAAGTCACATTTCTGCGTGGTTTTTATCTGTCCCTTTCAGCTGAATTTCATTCAAAACAAACTCAAAGTGTATGGTGCAGATTCGGTGCTATTGGGGCAAGTTTTCGGACAAATGACTTATTGGATATGTGCGTTAGCATTGAATCATTTGATGTTCAGGAAAGAATTATGCAATTTCGAGAAAGCTATACAAATCAAGTAAATTATGATTTAATTAACTAATTCGTGTCACTTTAAAAAAGTTGCAATTTAATTAAAATGGATATTTTAACTTTGCTATTTATATGTTGCTCTGGATTTGACCTTATCATTCTAGGCATAATGTTACCGAAGTACAGTCATGGCTTTCTTCCAACGGACTATCTATACATCGTGAAACTTTGGAGCCGTTGGTGCAGGCATCTCATTTGCTGCAATCCAAAAAAGATGAATCAAATTTGGACACCTTGTGCGGTGAGATGACTTCAAAACTGAAACCAAAACAGGCGAGCTGGACTTAAACTTTCTTTTAACGAAGAGTTTCTAGAAAGTAAAGAAATGCGTAATTTAATGTTGTTTTAATTCAATAGCTGAAATTCATCATGGACACATACTGATTTACGAATCAATTTTTTTAAAACTTTTCTTGATTGCCTTAGGACTAGTTGTCTAGTCACAGTTGTTTTTGCAGTGCCGGTTGAAATGTCCCCTTATGTTCATCCAAATGCTAAAACATTGCATTGCGTCTTCTATTGATGTTGCAGTTACAAATTAGTCACGTTCATGTGTCAAGTCTTCCAAAGAAAGACCATGATAACAGCTGTTTGACCACGTATTTTAACATTTTTCATAATTTAATTTCTGTTGGATATAACTTCACTGACAAATGGTGGTTGAATTTTCACTGAAGTTATATCTGTCCACAGCAGAGCGTAGTGCATTTCATATTTAATGCTCTCTGCAGGTGATGGCTATATTGCAACATTATTCTCCAACGGATGGCTTTGAAGAAAGGCAATTAAGTCCCGACTTCCTAATGAAAGTTTCCGAAAGACTGAACGCTAGGACGAGAGCAAATGGTGGGACGGATGCTGATATTGTGAGTTCTTTTGCAGATTCTCTACATAACTCAGTTAACCGACAGATGATCTCAAATTCAAAAATTTCCAGTTACCGCTTCTTCGATTTAAATTTCTTAGACACTTATCGATGCACAATGTTTCAGAATACGCTGATTATGATGGGCACTTATTTGACACCTTTCAATTCCGAACCGTTTGTTTATTCGGATTTTAACCTGGAATCACTGTCACTGCCTACGTGTCTGCATTTGCAAGCGGTTTGTAAATTGTTATAGGACGAGGTACTACTTCGATTACTCCATTTCTGATTCACTTTTGACTTAAAACAATAATTACATATTTGAGATACAATTTAAAAGGTATGCGTAATTCTGAGTGAACACGATTTCTGATTAAATCTTATGGT